CAACTCCACCACTGATGGGGGAATTGCCGTGGCCGGTCCAGCCATAGTGAGGGCTGTAGTGACCGATTCAAGTTTCTCCAGCCTAGAATTGACCTTGCTCATGGATGTCATGAGGGACGTGAGCATGTCATGTATGTTCCCTGGGTGGGACTGGCTCGACCCTTCCCCAGCGTCCGTGTTATCGGTTGAGGTGTGTAATAATCTGTAAAGTTCCGCTTTCCTTGCTGTTGCTGGAAAAGGGATTTGTCGTCTCCTGAGTTCGCTAGTGATACGAGGGATAGTCCATGATCTGAAAGATGCTGGACTAGCCGTATCTTCCTCCTGTGATGGGGTGTTGGTTCTAGCCGGAGTCCTTGGGATGGAGAAATCCTCTACCCCTTCTTGCGACATACTAGATTACAAAGTATATGGTTAGCATAAAAACCCCCGAGGGGATGTACTGGCAGGCTAATTATGCCGGATGAGGCGAAAAATTAAACTTGTTCTTTGGTGACAGGTGAGGCCCTGCTAGTTGCCAAGTGGCTATGAGAGGCTCTATCTATGCGTTGGCGCGAGGGGTTATTGAGGCCACCCGACGTAGTGGCAGGAATTCGTAGGCCTCTCGGTGACAATACAAGAAAACAGGGGAAGGGAGTGACAGGTGGCACCCTCTCTATAATGCGAGGCGGCTAACTCACGTGTGGCCCGGGGGGCATTACCTCCGAAACGTTGAGGCGGGGTGTTGGCCTCGCGGACCACTAAACGATAGGCAGAATGCCTGGAGGGGGGATACCTATTTGGGCCTATAACCCCTAAAATTGCCAGTACTCTATGTCCTAAGTAGAGGAGGAACCATATGTGATGTATGGCGTGAGCAGGCTTAACGTACCTGGTAGTATGTATGCGTTTGATAAGCGATAGGTAGAGAAAACTGGAAAAACCTAAAGGGATAGAAAAACCAAATATGATAGTGTGAGAATTGGATCCTATGATACCAATTTAGACTAGTTAGTTGTGGTGAGTTCTAGTAGTACATATGGAAGGGGAATATATGAATGATATTGGCCCGACTGGCCCTGTCTGTGGTATGGTAATCATGCTTGGGGGTGTGTATGATATGTCTCTATGGTGACCAGATTTAATAGTAATGCTAGTGTTTGTAGTATAATAAGGTGCAGGATTTAAAACAATACCGTATATCTTAGGCCGTAAACGTAAGCCATGAAAAGAGGTAAGTACGAGGTACAGAAATATTTGAGAAGTTATCCCAATTAGGAAACAACGTGACGTATGAGTGGTTGAATCAAGACGTGTGATTCAACCCGAAAGTTTGTGAGATTTATGAGACCGTGTTCTTGTGTACTTGGTATGTCGTTTGAGTACACAAAGAAAAAGTCAGAATTTATAAGTGCCATGTAAGAAACGTGAGTACATGGTATGATAGAAACGTAATTTCTAAACATAATTTATAACGTAAATCCTACAAAAGATATCTGTAAAATGTAAAAGCTTGTCTAAGCTTAACTCCATAAATAAATGTATATAACATGAAGAATTTCAATAAAACTTTAATGATACCATATCTGCTAAAAGATTAAACCATAACCTAAAAATACACTTATTCATAAGTAGTTAACAGGGGTATTGCCCCAGTCATGCAAGGATTTTGTAATTTGCATAAAATAATTAACAGTAATAACATGAAACCAATGATAGCTGATGATATGCATAACAAGTTTGCTTAATACAAGAAAAACCGAACCGATATGCCTGCCGGCAGCAAAGGGGTTAATATGCCTGTGACTTGGCCGTAAAGCGTGTGGCCGTAAAGTAAGGCCGTTTTAAATCGCGACGCCGGGGGAAATGATCCGGGCGACGGACTTACGATTTTGAAGTCCTGTGGACTTAATCTGCGACGAAAACACCGGGTATGTGCGTGGCTGAACGGGCGGAAAACCTGTAAGGATTCCTGGACACAGTTACACCAAACGAAAACCACGGGTTTTGAAAAGCAAGATGGCGCCGTACGTGAACCGGAAGTGGATTCTCGATGCAGCGCTGACCTCGAACGGTATGGAGCCAGGTAAGGGGTGTCCCTTAAGTAGGGAGAAGGTGAGTCATACGCCCCTCCCACAATTACAGGCCAAAAGGCCTTAATACATATCATCTGGGTTGGCAAGACATAGCCTTACAAATTACATGCGACAATATATGGCGCAATGATTTATGGGGCTGGCATAAAATATTTTCCAGGGCTGCTTTGTATCCCCAGTCCGGCCCTGTCTGTGAGAGAGGAGGGGTGCTGTGTGTAAAAGGGTTCTGTGTGTGGGCAGTGGCGTACACACAATCCATGGGGCCCCGGTGCGAAACTGATCCGTGCCCCTCCATCCTCCCTGACACATACAGACACACACACAAACAGACACACACACACACACACACACACACACACACATACATCCATCAACAGACACATACATACAGAGACACAGGCGCACACACACACACACACATAGACACACACACACACACATAGACACAGACACACACATACATAGACACAGACACATACATACGGGGCCCCATGGATTGTGTATACGCCACTGCATACAGAGACACACACGTACATACAGAGACACACACGTACATACAGAGACACAGACACACAGAGACACAGACACACACACATACTGAGACACATATAGAGACACATACATACAGAGACAGACATACACAAAATGTTTCCTACCTTGTTACTTTCCCTGGGGTCCAGTGGTGGCTCAGCCTGATGGGAGCCAGTTCCCACTTTGACTCCCTCCTCCTCCTCCTTCCTCCCGCGTGGGCTCTCAGTATGCTGGGAGGAGTGACCGGGGAATCACTTCCTCCCAGCTCTGATGTCATCACAGGGAGCCCGGTCGTGCTGTTAAAGCACCCAGCACTGACCGGGCCCCCTTACAATCCATATCCATCGGGTGACCCTGACAGCATGGGCCACCCAATGGACCCCTCCATATGCGGCCCTAGTGGTTTGCCATGCAGGACGGGGCCGCAAAATGTAGCAGCAGGCCTGGTACCCAGTTGCAGGGGTCCGCAAGGCGGCCAGGCCCCCTGGAGTGCAGGTCCTGGTCGCAGCTGCGACCCCTGCAACCGCGGTATGTACGCCGCTGTGTGTGGGCAAAGTGCTGTGTGTATGTGTGAGGGGTGCTGTGTGTGTGTGTGTGTGAGGTGCTGTACGTGAGGGATGAGTTGTGTGTGTATGTGAGGGGTGAGTGGTGTGTGTTGCAGTGTGTGAGGGATGCATAGAGCAAAGGTTTTCTTGATTTGTTTTTTTTTTTATAATGTGCGTTATTAATGAAATCTTCAGACAGCATGATGGGGAGAGGGAACACTGCCCTGGTGGTGGTGATCTATAGCCTGCAGCTTCACTCTTCCTGAGCTGAGTGCTGTGTGGTGTGTTGCCATGGCAACGCGTGGCAGCGTTCCGTACAGCAAGCTTGTTGGAGGAGAGATCTCCTCCCAGGGTCCTCCTCCTGCCTCTGGGTCCTTCAGTCTTCTCTCCCACTAGATCTTTGATTTCCCCACCAGTCCAAGAGGGCCCACTGGAAGAAAACGGGGCTGGCTCTCCCGATCTCTGTCTGTCTGGGCATGCTGGGTAGCGCAGTGGGGCCCCCATGCCTGTGGGGCCCCCGGGCAACTGCCCAGAGTGCCCATGGGGAAAAGAGGCCCTGTCCTGGAGGGCTACTAATGGGAATGGCGTTCCTGCTGTGGAAAAAGTGCAGGAGCGCCGCCCGTTCCCATCCCCAACCAAGGGATGGGGCCCATAAATGCATAGAACCATGATCATTGTAATAGGCTTCAGTGTTTATAGTGCTTCCTAAATTATGCTAATTATGTTTTTTTTGGGAACTCAAAGTCCTGTTTTGTTTTTTAAGGAGTCAGACTAATTAGGGATTTCTGTAAATTCATTTGCATTAGAATGTGTAATGGTAATGTACCCTGAAAATGCAAGTGTAAAAAATAAAATGTCTTCACCATGTGTAATGTTAAGTGAAATAGCTTACAGCATACTTCCTAAAAGTCCCAGATCTGGCAAGACCAACCCCATTTCGAGCTCTTGTCCTGCCATCCTGGGTAGGTACCCTGGCATCCAATGTCTGGGGAGAGTTCCCTGGTCCTGGTGTCTCCAATCAGCACATTGGGAGTTCATCACTAGATGCACTTTCACTATGCAAAATGCAGATAGGGCACTATGCCTCAGCCCTAACTGCTCGATGCAAGTGCTGCCCTGAATGAGGCAACCCAGGGAGGCAAGCAGTCAACCTGGCAAGAATTCACACCAGCCTCTCCTACCTGTTTGGGCAGTCCTGCCCCAATTCTTGGCAGGACTGCTGCTTTTAGAATTTGGAAAAGTTGAAGCTGGTTCATCTCCTGATTTGCGCAGAACCCTTGCCTTCTCTTGTAACCACCTGCATTGCTTTGTCATCTATACCTGTACATTTAGATAATCCTTTGTACAGCATTTTGAAATATGTTCCAATAAAACATCCTTGTGGCAGTTACAGTGCTTTAAATGGAATTCCCGATTCTCTGCAGCCTGTTAAAGGAGGATTAAAGGCTGGATTATGTGTTTGCAGGAATAGCATGCAGATTATCTGTGTTTTCCTATTTAATTAAATCTTCTTATAGAGACGTGTGGCTGGGAAGATCTTGCAGTGACTGCCCTCGTATGACACAAGCCAAGTCGCCAATGGAAAATTAAAGATGGCTTTATTTTCAGACATGCGAGAAGAGTTTAATGTTAAACTAAACATTAATCTATTAAAAACTCAACATGGTCAATGAGCGGGATTGTCCACACACTGCTTACATTAAAGAAGGTCAGGCTAGCGCTGTAACTAATACAAAGGGCACGTCTATCGCTCTGCCTCTGGGTGTTGATATGGTGCATTGGCTTTCATTATGCTGCTTAGGAACTTGCTTTCATCTTTCTGATCTCCAAAACAAAAAAAATAATACTTTGGTGTGATCTGATATACCAAATCCACATCTAGAACTCAATGTTCCTTTCGACATTTTTTTGTGAGCCTTTTTAGTAAGTGTGCAATCAAACTTTCATCTGTTTACAATGGACAGGTACATATAAATGCCTTGATAGTTGTGCTGACATACATACACCGTTTAGTTGATAACCACAATCAGCATCGTTTTATGAAACAAAGTTCATGTCAGACTATATTGCATTCTATGAAGAAGTAAGTAAATTATAGATCAGGGTGTTGCAGCGAATGTGATCTACGTGGATTGTTCCAAGGCGTTTGATATGATTCCTCACAATAGGCTCGATTAAAGTTCTTGTTCGTGGGTAGAATATTGGCTTAAAAATAGAGTACAGAGAGTTGTCATTAATAGTACATTTTCAAGCGGGAGATAGGTGGTTAGTGGTGTCCCTCAAGGTTCGGTTCTGGGAGAGCTTCTATTTAATGTATTTAAAAATGATTTTGAAATAAGCATTGAAAGTGATGTTTCAGTGTTTGCAGATGACACAAAACTCTGTAAAATAATACAATATAAGCAGGATATTGCTTTGCTGCAGAGGGATTTAAATAGATTGGGGGATCTGGCACTCAAATGGCAAAATTTAATGTAGATAAATGCAGTTATGCACTTTGGGGAAAGCATGCACAAACAACCTATACCCTAAATGGTTATGAATTAGGGATAACATACGAGAAGGATTTGGGAATTGTTATAGACATCAAACTAGGAAACTGTGCAATGTGATGGGTATTGTCAAGTATACATAGGGGCATTAATTCTGATGAAAATATAATTCTGCCTCTTTTATAAATCACTGATAAGACCACACCTTGAATATGCTGTGCAATTTTGAGCACCTGTTCTAAAAAAGGATATTGGGGCGAAAAAATGTATAAAAGGAATGGAGCATTTTAGAAGGAAAGAAAGGTTCGATAAGTGAAATCTCTTTAGTTTGGAAAAACAGCACCTCAGAAAGGATTTAATAGCATTATACAAATATATTCAGGGCCAATTCAAACCATCGCTGGAAAATCTATTCACAACAGAACTATACATAGATCATGCGTTCAGATTGGAAGAAAGGAGATTTAGTCTAAGGCAAAGGAAAGGTTTGTTTTTTACAGTAAGAACAACAAGGATGTGGAATTATCTCCATTAAAAGGTGGTTTTATCAGAGTTTATACAGATGTTTAACCCCTTAAGGACACATGACGTGTGACGTCATGATTCCCTTTTATTCCAGAAGTTTGGTCCTTACGGGGTTAAACAGCAATCTGATAAATACTTGCAAAACATAATATGAAGGGATAGACGTTTTAATTAGTGGGGTAACATATCTCTGGCCCAAGGAGATATGTCTGCCATTCTCGGGTCAAAAAGGAATTTTTTCCTAGTTTGTTTTAAATTTGGAAAGTGTTTTAAACTGGGCTTTTTGCATTTTTTTTGGATCAACCTCAAAAACAGATGTGAGAACTTGATGGACACATGTTTCTTTTCAGCTATGTAACACCATGTGCTAAGGTAAATCCTTCATGCTTTACACTATATGCACGGTGAGCCTTTGCCGCAGGATGTAGCTTCCTTCTGTCCTTTCTGATTAAGGCACCATAACAAGTTCATAACAAGCACAGGTTAAGTTGCAAAAAGGTCCACTTTCCCTGTCACCATGCAGTCTCCTGTAACCATGTTTTATGGGCCCATGAACTTGAAAAATGCAGAAGCACAACATACCTCCCAACAATTGAGCCCACAAAATTGTGACGAGTTGGCATGCCCCTGTGGGAGCGGTGCCAGTCACTAGTGACCCCCATAGTGACCCCACGATCATGCAGAGAGTGTTGATAAATGATGCACTCGCTTATCCCCAGATGTCGGACACCAGGAAACTAAAGTGTGACAGGACCCTGAAATCAGGACCGTGAGAGACTGTTAGGAGTTCTTGCACCAAGATTGGCCATGTCACTTTCTGGTTTGGGCAGAGCTTGGTGCTACAGCTGCAAAACCTGTCGATCTATAGCAAACACAGGATTATTGTTTAATTTCATACATGCTTAATCTAATTTCTTATCAAACAATTGGAAGACATCAACTAGTGGCAGCTTTAATTACTTTTATTTTTATATATATATATATCTAATGCAGTCTATATGAAAGTGAAATTATATAATTATCAATAAACGGCAAACTATAGTGAATTGAAAAGTGGATTGCAAAATTAAGGCAAAAGTACCTAATTTGGAAACCTTCTCCAACTTGGCTTTTGTCACAGCTTGGATATTTAAGACTTGCATTAAATGGTTACTTGAATAAACCCCAATATGTTGAGTGAGTTGAAATGATATCATTTAATGAAATGTTTCAATTATAGTTTGTCAATTGCTAAATCTAGCATGGAAGCCCAGAGATAGGGAAATTCAGAGAGGCCATGTATTTTCAGTTCTTTTCTGACTTAATATCTCAAGAAAAAAAGGTGTGTTTTTTTTTTTTTTTTATTGTTCTTAGAGATGTGTGTGTATGTATTAAGGACGTTTGGCCTGTATTTGTGGGAGGGGCTTAAATTAATTCCCCTATATAAGGGACACCCCTCCATATCGCTTGAGGTCAGCATCAGAATGATTTCCACTTCTGGGTCATCCAGATGCCATTTTACCGCAATCCTTATTGTTATTTAAGTATTTCTCAAAAAAATTGGGGAAGAATCACCTCTTCCTAGCACCCCGGCTAGAAGTGATACACCTTCAAGCAGAGGAGATGTTGCTAGTCAAGCAGCAATCAGATCCTGGACGATACCACACATTACCACGGACCTGAGGAGGCGACAAATCCCCTACCCTGCCACAGCAAGGAAAGCAGAGTTATTCAAACTCCTCCATACATCAACGGACAACACGGAGGCAGGGGAAGGCCCAGCAACACCAACTCAGGTGACAACCAGGCCATGCTAGCCTCACTCATAAACTCATGAGCCAATAAATTTATGACAGACTGGCAATTTCGAGTAGGTCACCACAGCCCTCACAAGGCTGGGCCTCATGCTACTGTACAACCAGCACCAACCGAAACTCGGTTACCGGTACAATCAATTCTTATGACACACAAGACGTTAACCCTGCACATATGATCCCGGCACATTGGGGAAACAAGGCATAAATATGTATGACGATGTATCTGTGATGGTCAGATCCAGGGATTCCAGGTAAATCGGGAACTGACCATCCCTTGGTTGTGTTGGCATTTGGAATATGTAGAGATGTTTATTTGTGCAGGTACCCATACAGAAGGGATTTTGTCCCAAACGAACGGACGAGCACTCTCAGGTTCCAGGTACCAGCACCTCTGAACTACCAGAGACAATTGGTATGAGTAGTTGCATTGCATATAGACTGTTGCATATATGTTCAAATGGTTCAGGGTGCATGACAAACCATGTGTCCCAATACAACTTACAAAAAACTTACTCACCATCTGTACACACTAATGCATTTTCAACACTACTGACTCTTCACCCTTCCAGACTTGTAGTAGATTTACTAAAGCTCTGGAGAGTCAAAGGGCTCCCATACAGGTAACATAAATACAACTTCAAGGAATATAGCATGCCCTCACTTACAGTCAGCACAACAGAACCATCGGCTGTAAACACACTCATAGCCAAGATTTGCAGAGGGGTTTTTACTTGGGTTTTCCAATCTCCACCATTTACAGCATGGCGCCAAGCACAAACACATTGGTATTGTCACAAGGAAATCTTCCCTTAAACAAAGACTAACCATAGACTTATTAGCACCACACCCCTCCGCTACCCAAGTCTCAACTCCCTCATACCCTCCGAGGAGTTTTCTTACTATACAACACCATTGATCTACCTTTACAGCTATCACTCAAGCATGGGTTGAAGCTTGGTTAAGTAAGACCAATATCATCAACGCAGTACCATCGGCTACCATTTACCCTACACATTGGCACTTACATGGCATAAAATGGGCAATCCTTTCCCTGCTCAACTTCCGGGCTACAGATTAGCCTACTATCGATATTCTCAGATACTCTGTGCTGGTTATGATAACATATCCAGAGGCCTTACAGTCATACACTATCTAGAAGACTTCTTGTTGATCAAAGATAACATATTTCCACTAGAAGACTCACGGCAGCTTAGTCTGGTTGACCACTTGGGCTTCCCTTTACCCCATAAGAAACAGAAGGCCTAGACACTATCATCACATTACTGGGCATACGACTTGAGTCGGCATCCATACACGCAAGTTACCACAAGACAAATAGGGAACATTCTCAACTACATCAATCACTACCTCCTGCTTAGTACTTACAACCGCTAGGAACTACAATCCCTACCAGGTTCTTTAATTTTTCCATGCAAATCATACCACAAGACTACGCTTTCACATCCAGAGTTCTTTCCCCTTTTTTCCACACTTCCAACATGATGATCAGAGGATGTCCCTAGACACCTCAGCCACAGCAGACTGGGGGGGGGGGGGTGATTTCTTAACCACTTGGCATGGTAAAAGCATGTTCCTTCCAGGATTGTCTGACACTTTTCCAACCAGATGGTCAGTCGCGGTGTCTACCACGGGTTTGGCAGCGATCTACCGGGAACGATAGCTTTGGAGCTGTTGGCCATGGCATCCAGGTTTGGAATTTTTTCCACCACCTCAGCCCCTTTGGGGGATCTACCCAATTGTAGCAGCTGCTGTGGCATGGGGTAAATCATGGTCAGGGTCATCAATCCATTGTTACTCAGACAACTATGCACATGTCATTCATCAACATACTCCACTCATCATCCATACGATCCTGATATTTCTGGGGAACTCACTTGGTTGGCCACTTATCACATTTCTTTTACTTTCATGTACCAGGTGGGGGCATACATCCCTGCCGACAATTGTCTCATTTATATTCCAGGCATGTTCATCATACACTTCCTACAGCCGCCCCTACCGTGAAAGCCACTCTTTCATTCCAGAGACAAAATCATGGATTAGACATACTCATGCAGCATAGCATGCACTATCCCACCTAGCACTTTCGTCCCATACTTGTAGAACGCATAACACAGCTTTTCACCTGGCTTAAAGAATCTCATTGGAACACAACATATCTCAAACTGTGTCATAACATTTCTCCTAGGTTTTGCTTCTTTTTGCCATCTTAAACTGAAACTATCTCACACACCATTAATTATATATTTTACAGGCATTCAACAACACAGGATAAACTATGGCCAAAATTACCATAACTTCATGCTATCATCCCAGACAAGAATATACTCAGAGGTTTTCAGGAATCCATTCCCCCATGTTCCTCTTAGAGATTACCAATAGCCATCCAACTTTTCCATCCTTATCGGACCTATTACATCTACAACCATTCAATTATACTACCAAGTCGGCCATTACCAGCCATGCACACTGCCTTCTATGCCTTTCTCAGGCCAGAGAATCCACTACTATCACCACCACTCAGACAGATCATTGTCTTCAATGATCCCACGTACGTAAACACATATATCATTACCTATTGGCTCTACCACATTCCGAAATGAGTCAACACGCACCAACAGTAGAGATAACATTCTATTCTACCTACAACAAATGGTGTCCAGTTGTGGTCCTAGATTCCTACCTTCAAAACCCTTCCAGGAATTAAATACCGTAATGCATTTAAGTAAATGTCTGGTTTATTTGTATATATTTGTTGACTGTATTAAATCTTTGATTATTCATTTTTGCTCTCATTAATTACAGGCCACACCACAACCGACTTGCTCCCTTTATACTATCCTACGCTTATGCTGGAACCTTACTCCATATATGGCTATTTGCCCCCCACACAAGTATAAATGCCGTTTGGCCTGTATTTGTGGAAGGGGCTTAAATTAATTCACTCCCTATATAAGGGACACCCCTTACCTGACTCCATATCACTTGAGGTCAGCATCAGAATGACCCTCCCACCCACTCCTCATTTCAACACTTTCTCTTTTCTTTCCATTTACTTTACTTTCTTACTCCTTGGTGGGCCCTCTTTATTTACAGGCCTACCGTATCGTCGGTCTCGGCACACCACAACCGACTTGCTCCCTTTATACTATCCTACGCTTATGCTGGAACCTTACTCCAAATATGGCTATTTGCCCCTTACACACACACATATATATATATATATATATATATATATATATATACCCTGTTTTCCCGAAAATACACCCTACCCCGAAAATAAGCCCTAGCTGGATTATCGGGGTGGGCTGCAATATAAGCCCTACCCCGAAAATAAGACCTAGGCAGGGCCGGCGGCTGCCGGCCCTTTAAATGCCACAGCCGACTGAGCGCTCTATAGAGAGCTCTCAGACGGCTGCCGCACTGCCTCACCTCCCCTTCCCTGTAGCGTGGCCGAGCTCCTCTCTGGTCCGCGACCCGGCCGGACTGACAGGAAGTGCACACTGGGTGTGCACTTCCTGTCAGTCCGGCCGGGTCGCAGACCGGAGAGGAGCTCGGCCACGCTACAGGGAAGAGCAGGTGAGGAGAAGATTGGAGGGGGGAGGGGGGGGAGTATTACAGGGAGGGGGGGAGAATATTACAGGGAGGGAGTGAGGGGGGAGAGTATTACAGGGAGGGAGGAGAATATTACAGGAGGAGAGGGAGAATATTACAGGAGGGAGGGGAGAATATTACAGGGAGGAGGAGAGTATTACAGGAGGAGGGGGGAGAGTACAGGGAGGAGGAGGGGAGAGACAGGGAGGGAGGGGAGAGTATTACAGGAGGAAGGAGGGGAGAGAAGAGAAGGTGGGGGGAGAGGCCACAGGGAGGAGGGGAGAGACACAGGGAGTGGAGGGGGAGAGTATTACAGGAGGGTGGAGGGGGAGAATATCACAGGGAGGAGGGGGGAGAATATTACAGGGGGGAGAGACAGGAGGGAGGGGGGAGAGTATTACAGGAGGGAGGGAGAAAGCACATGGGAGGGTGAGGGGGATAATATTACAGGGAGGGAGGAGGGGATAATATTACTGGGAAGGAGGGGGAGAGTATTACAGGGAGGGAGGGGGGAGATAATATTACAGGGAGGGAGGGGAGAATATTACAGGGAGGGAGGGAGGGGGAGAATATTACAGGGAGGGAGGGGGGAGAGTATTACAGGGAGGGAGGGGGGGGGAGAGTATTACAGGGAGGGAGGGGGGATAATATTACAGGGAGGGAGGGGGGAGAGTATTACAGGGAGGGAGGGAGGGGAGAATATTACAGGGAGGGGGAGGTGAGGGTCTCTGGGGGGGTTACACAGCGCAGACACCAGCTGACAGACTGGCTCTAAGCCCTACCCTGAAAATAAGCCCTAGTGTGTTTTTTGTGACTAAAATTAATATAAGACCCGGTCTTATTTTCGGAGAAACACGGTATATATATATATACTGTAAATCCGGAGTTCCGTGATCTGTCCCTTTGATGCTTTTTCACAAACCTCATCATACATATACACACAGCTCAGCTAATGTCGTGCTGGTATACAGAGCTCCATCCCACTGCTCCCTTATGTACTTTAGTCCAGAGATAGGCAAACTTCGGCACTCCAGATGTTGGGGACTACATCCCCACAATGCTCTTGCACCCATAATCCTGGCAAAGCATCATGGGAGGTGTAGTCCAAAACATCTGGAGTGCCGACGGTTGCATATGCCTGTACTATACCATATATTCCAAAATAGCACGTAACATTATCAACACTATTCTTGCGCGCTGCAATTGTCAAAGTTGTTTCAGACAGAAAAATTACTAGTTGGTATCAAGTTCTAGGAAAAAACATATCAATGGCATCTCTGACTATAAAAATAGTATAGTCACCTTATCAGTACCCACCCTTGGAGGAAACATTGAGTTTTTTTCTTATTTCCATGATTATTCTAATGGATCTTTAATTATTTCCTATTTATTCAAAACGAGTAGGTTCTGGCCCCTTTAGAAGCTGTTATGGTACAAAGGAACCATTCCAGATAGGCAAATCTGTCTTCATAACAAAAGGTACATGGTAGTGTTACGTAGAGTTAAAATAGTTTCCAAGTAATAATGCTAAAGATCTTGATAAAATCTCAATAGTGACAAAACAAATTACTATTTGGTGCTTCCCTTGTTTATATGGCTTTGGAAACCATCCACAAAAGGTACAATGTAAACGTTTTTATCTTTTGTTGCTAGAAGTATTACATTTTAAATTATTCCATGGCTCTAGTAATTGATATATTTGTACAGTGAAGATGATGACTCATACTTGCATTCTATACATAATGAGGAACAATCCCTAGTTTCAGCCCAAATCCCTCTGTCCCTATTTTCTGTCATGATGTCCTTTTTTTTTCTAGGAGCTCCATATTGTTGTTGTGCCTGAGTGTAGAACGGAGCTCCACAGCAACTATACTCCAAGTAATGTGTATTTAACCCCTTAAGGACCAAACTTCTGGAATAAAAGGGAATCCTGACATGTCACACGTGTCATGTGTCCTTAAGGGGTTAAACTACAATAAATGTGTTTGGAATTCAGTCCATGTAAAAAAACAAACATTCTTGTTGTTATTAAGTATATTTTTAGTTGTATGAGGTTTTTTTTTATTAGTAAATCACCCATAATTCCTCAGAACAGTCCCTACCAAAGCATCACCCCTAAAATGAGTGTCCCTCTTTGTCCATGTGAAATGTCAGGGGTATAGCATTGTACACATACAGGATTGAAAGGGTTATCAGTCTATTTTCACACATTGTTGCCATGTTGTATCTATTTTATGAATACATTCATGTGACAGCCCCGTGGCCTCAAATATTTGTAGGTCACCTCATGGCAATGACTAGAACAAGGTGTGAATAACACTAGTCAGGACGGGTACAGCAGTCACAACAGAAGATCACCGGGCAATGTTTGTCTCTACATTTGATAAGAAATTGCAGCCTGCCAAGTGGATGTTTTTAGTATGAGCCAGGTTACTAAATTCAGGAACAACTCTGTGACTAGACAAATCCTCAATCCACAGCCACATCTTTTTCTGTGTGAACGAGTTGTTAGAAATGTAACTATCTGCAAAAGATCAACAAAGCATTAAAGTCATATTTGTTGCATTATATTAATATATATTTTTAGCTCTTTTAAAATAGTCAAAACCATTTCAGAATGGCTTGACGACTTACCTGGGTAATTTAGGCATCAAGGGCCACCTCGCCTCACTTGTCCCAAAAACTCCTGCCACTGAGCTAAGCCAGGCCTTGCATGGTCAGGTTCATTGGCTGGGAATGCTCAGGATGAACTGACCCTTGCAGGATTTTTTCAGCAGAAGAGAGATGGCAACAGGCTCCCAAGATGTTCAAACTTATTAGGCTATCGGTGGTTGTTTACAAATCTATAACTAGCGTTTAATAACATTAATTTTGCAGGACACCCGTGGGTAACACAGGTGCAACTTTTCTTGCTGATTACTCCCAGGAAGCAGAGCCAATCATGTGCAGGACCTCCATATTTAAAGAGAGCTTCCTAGCTGCTCTGAGCCCTTTTGGGGTTCTTGAGCCTTTAGTGCATTTGGACTGATTGAGTTCCTGTTTTTGACCCAGCTCATCATTTGAAAATTCTTAATCCCCCTGTATTTGTGTATGAAACCTGGATAGTATTATTACCCTGTACATGTACCAACTTGTTCATTGACTTGTTCCAGCCCATATCCGTGACTTCGGACCATTTTGACTATTTTCGTTTTTATACCAGCCTGAATTCTTTTGTGGTGCACAGTTTTGTTTATTTCCTGTTTGTTTCGTGTTGCTCTCTGGCCTGAACTATTTGCCTAGTTTAGTCCTGTTATTACCTGGTTACTGCTTTACGATAGCCCGGCCCCTCTAAAGTCCTGTAATATGCCTCTTCCTTTGCCTTTGTTACTGCCTCTCACCTTGCTGAGGATCCACTAACCAACCCTGACACTCCCACACAGAATAAAACCCTCTTTCGTCCATTCCCTGCCTGTGCCCGCAGTGGTAAAATGGTCCAAACAATGGCTTCACTATAAGAAGCTTTTGATAGGTCCTCGGGGCGGCTCCTGTGATGTCATACAGAGGAGCACCGAGCAGTACTGGATTAAGGTAAGTAAACTTTTTATTTATTTTAAAAAACGCTCTTGAGCATTTCTTTAGGGGGAAGGGATAGAATAATACCAATAAGGCCTTATTTATTTCTACCAAAAAAGGGTTGGAGTAACCCTTTAACATTGATGCAGGACCCAGCATTATTGAACTCCAGGCACCATAACAACTCTTCACTCAGTTGAAGTGATTGTGTTACTCTTCCTGTGATTAGCATTGTAGTGAAGTGGCTGTCGAAATAACTGTGCCATCTTAACAGCGTTATGGAACCCCGGACAAAGCAGTACACTGGGGCCCTACCTACACAACAACTCACAGGAATAAAAATGTAAAATATGGATAAAATTAAACTCATATTTATTGGTATCTCCAACATATGCAATAGATACATACAATACACAGACTGCTGAGCATATGCACACACAGACTGCTGAATACAAGTACACCAACTGCTGAATACACGCACACAGACAGACTGCTAAATACATACACAGTCCACTGAATACACACACATAAACCCACACAGATACTGCTGAATACACACACACAGACTGCAGTGAGGGGTGCAATTTAAGTTTTTGTGTGGAGGGGTGCTGTGTGTGTGTGTGAGAGGTGCGCTGTGCAGGGCCGGACTGGCCCACCGGGATCCTGGGAAATTTCCCAGTGGGCCACGGCACCTGGGGTTGGGCAGACAGCTGGTGTGCTGGCGGCCCGAGGGAGACGTGTGCTGTCTCTGCTCTGCTCCCCTGCCCTCACGCGCTACTTAATGAGACCGGGGCCGGAATATGATGTCAGTCTGTAGTGTGAGTGTATGGGTCTGTCAAGGTGTGTGTATGAGTGTGTGTCTGTCATGGTGTGTCAGTCTGTATCATGGTGTGTGTGTGTCTGTCATGGTATGTGCGTGTGTGTGTGTCTGCCCTGGTGGTGGTGATCTAGAGGAGCTGCAGGCTCTCTTTACTCCTCCCGAGCTGAGCGCTGTGTGAAGCGTTGCCGTGGCAATGCTCCACACAGCAAGCTCATGGAAGGAGTGATCTCCTCCCAGGTCCCTCCTCCAGCTCCTTCCGCCCTCTCTCTCCCACTAATGAAGGGCCTTTTGGCCAGTGAGCGAGATCTTTGATTTCCCCACCAGCCTGAGAGGGCCCACCAGAAGAAAACTGGGCCAGCTATCCAGGGGAGATCAAATGATCTCTACTATCTGCCTGGGAGCGCTGGGCAGCGCGGTGGGGCCTTTGGGCAACTGCCCAGCATGCCCATGGGGAAAGACGGCCCTGCTTGGTGACCTCCATAATTTATTTACCTTCCTGATTTGCGGATTGTGTAATCTGTGTTCTGTTAATGCACTGAAGGTAAAGTCCTGTATTAGCAGTCATTAGAGCTAATTGGGGATTTTAATCACATTGCTTCCTTTTAGAGGACCTCTCCCAAACTATAAAGCAGGTCACCTGAGCTTAGTTTTTATTTTTATTCCTCTTACGCTAAATGCCTGTAAGTAGGCCAGTCCTGCCTAACTCTTACTAATTGGCACACTCTCGCCCTGTTTTATGTGTAAACAAACCAGAAGCACAATGGCGAGAAACAGATTTATGAATTAAATCCTTAACTGCCTCTAATTTTCCTATTGTAATTAGATATACATCAACCTCTGGCATGCACATACTGAAATAATATTTGTGATTTATAGTTCCAACTGATATATGAACTGCTCTGTTCAAACAACTTCACCTGAATGAAACTATGGGGACTGGAGTCATTGGGATCTGACTTACCTTCACTCGTTAAAGGTTTATTCCAACTCCAAAAGAAAAAAACCATGGCTTATTGAAGCATTTTGCACTGTCTTAACCCCGAAGTTAGGATTTCTGCACCCAACACTGTTTCCCTCCTGTTTTCTTTATTTCTGCCTCCTCAATAGTAGGAAAGTTTAAACTGGAGGCCGGTGTTTCTTAAACTGTTTGAAAATAGCTTTACATCTGAAGATGGGTGTCCAGGCACTCTTGCCACCATAACAACTTCATAGACAAGTTCCATGTCTGTCTATAGTGAGGATGTTAGGTGGGCAAGATTATTTCTCCTATTTTATTGAATTAAAGTCAAGCATGTTTTTGTTGTAAAATAGTGCTGAAATAAAATGTGATTTTAAAAACACAGAGGTTCGTATTTTGCTTAATTCTTTATTACTTCAACACAGCAAAGAACATTAGGAAAAGGGGATGCCAACATGTAACCTCCCAACCTTTATGAATAGCCATCTCTATATCAGCCTAAATCATACTCCCCCACTTACTCTTTTTCATTGCTACTCCCTTGGATGCAAGTTGAGTAAATCGACCTCTATATATTGCTGATTGTATATATTATATAGTGGGGGGCACGACCCCTTGGTGCTCTGCACCCTCTGAGTGTTCCTTGTGTAATTGTGTCCTTCACTGGATTTATTTATTATTCTGGGGCTTCCTCTACTTTACACTATCTTATATACCTATATGCTGCCTCATTCTGCCTTCCTTTCTGCTACCAATTGTAGCACGCAACATTGGTGCGTTCCAAGTCTTGTTTTCATTTGGCCAACATCTTGGTTGCGGCAATTTGCATTCCTGTGGCTCTCCACGACCGAATGAAGCTCTTTTTTGCCTCTTAGTGGTGTCCCTTTCACCTCTGTTTTCCTCTCCCTGTGGCAACGCCCTTTTTACAGTTCTTTCGTAAGATCACAATTACATATGTGCAATTGCACTTCTTGCCTTCTAAATGGGCCTGCCTTGATTCCGGTCTATGTGGACATTGTGAGTGCTCCTGCTCCTCTGGTGCTACCACTGTCTGTGTTCCCCGGTCCTGGTGGTCTCAGCATGGCCCTCCAGTGTCATTCCTCTGCTATTTGGTTAGTCTAGATCAGGACTGGAGGATGGCTATGACAATGTATATTTTGACCTGTATATTTATGTCTGCCAGTGTGTATTTGCGTGTCTGACTGTGTTTTGTATGTGTATCGGTCTGTGGGTATCTGTATGTCTGTCAGCGTTGAGGGGTATTTGTATGTCTGTCTGTGTGTATCTGTAAGTATGTCTATCTGTGTGTGTATCTGAAACTCTGTCCGTGTGTGTGTGTGTCTGTATTTTTATATGAAATTTTATACCTTTACCTGGAAGGTAAGGCAACAAAGACCTATCTGCCGCCCAAAGAAATCTAGCCCTTTTTAATTTTGTTCCCCATCTACTGCCACGTTGTGCAGTAGGTAGTCTAGATTAACTGGGTTTTGCACTACAACTCACTCTAAACAGTCTGAGTCCACTTTAAACACGAGGGATGATGGGTTATGTCACTCCCCTGAACTTGAGGCCTCTGATCTTCTCTCCTCCCCTGAAATCAGGGATCATGCCCCTTTTACCTCTGACAATACAGCTGTGGCATTTCAGAGCTCCTTATCTGATGCCATTATATCTGAAATGGGGACAATGTCTTCCACCATTGACCAACCCATTGCCCAGGCTTTGCTCCAGGTACATCAGGCTCCCTCTGAGGACTGCTCGTTGTCTACCCTGGATAGCCCTGTTGGTCCCAAAACACTGCCACTAAAAGTTACAGGCAAGAATGTGATTGCTAAGTCATGCCATTTGCCAGCGCCTGCCTCCAGAACCATCTATGATGACGTTCATAGTAATTGCTAGCGAGCCTTGCCACATCAGACAGAATGGACGTGGAAATGGAAAAGCGCTAGAGCACCACCTGATGGTGACATGGAATCTGATTTTGAGTCTCATGAGGAGATTTTGATTGAATCAGCCTCTGAGTCTGCCTACTGCTCCCAGCTCACAAGTATGTGGGCGAACCCCTAACACCAGCCCCACTACTATGCAGGGTCTGCATGGTAATTTTAAACCCGGATCCCATGTGGAGGTCATCTTGGATACCGTGGTATATTCACTTTTTGTCCCAGACAAAATGCAGAACCCTTGGTCGTCAGAGTCGTTACCTGTCAACCACATTGCTCTATAATTTCAGCTTAGGGTTAATCTTAGACCATAAGAAGTAAACTCTAGGCTACTGGTTCCTGGCAAAATATGCTGCCACCCTCCTCAGCCCCTGTACCCCCCTTCCTCAGCCCCTGTCCCCCCCTTCCTCAGCCCCTGTCCCCCCTTCCTCAGCCTCTGTCCCCCACCTCCCTCAGCCCCTGTCCCTCTCCCCTCAGCCCCATGCCCCACCACCACCACAGCCCTCATACCCTCACTACAGATTCATAATATCCCCATTACAGCCCCTGTCCCCCATTTGCAACCCATATCACCCACACCACAGCCCCTTTCCCAAATTGTAGCATTTGCTACATGAAAGCAATAGAATATCCTTTGTGCTTTTTGCATAAAAACCTTCGAACTGCCAATATTTCTCTGGAACTATTTTGGACTTCTACTTTGTGGCCGGCCGGTCAAAACTTTACCCCGGTGGCGATTCCAAACTACCAAACCGGTTTGAGCGCTTTTTGGATATGTTAGGTGCTCAGATTAGGGCTATCCAGGGATGTGACTCTCGAGAGGTTTCCATATATTATGGGGTACTTTTGGGGTGTTGTAAAAATGTGTTATACTTTTCTGTACCTGGGAGATAATTGAGTCATACGTTTCCTGACTCAATTATTTCTCAGCACAGGCAGGAGTTTTACTGTGTGTATAAATCGAGCGTGCTTGCCTGAAATAATCAGATCTTCTCCCAGCATTCAGTCTCGATTAATGTATGGAGAGAACAGCTTTACCAGCGATATTTATTTAGTTTCATGGTTGATAGAGCTAATTCACTTTGGGAAAGGGAGTCCGTGGCAGCGATATACTGGTGGTCGCCACATTGCAAGGTTAAACTGACCGTGACTGTGTGCACTAGCTGAAGCGGCGGTCTGGGTGCCTATAGTGTCCCTTTAAGTGCTTCATTAAGGTGCTCACGTTAAGTATGCAATGTGCAGTGTGTGATTTGTTGCAGAGAAACAGTCAAACAAATACTACAATGAGGAAATAAAAGATATAAAGTTTAAAGCATCTAGTCTGCTCCCTCTGCACACAAAACCTGAGTAAGCATATGAACATAGGCACACCTGGTGTGTACACACCCTATGCCCGATAGCAAGGTGTGATATCAGAGATTTATCTGTTCATCTGTGTCATACTTTGTTTTGAGTGGCGTTCTGATTACCCAACATGCCTTACTTGGCAATGGCTATAGTATGGTGACACACATGGGTGCTTACTTGCAAAACAATAAATTGAAGAAAAACATTCCCAACTTTATATAAACATTGAGAATATAACTTGTTGAGCGAATATTTCCATATATTTTGGCCCTTTTTAAGGCCATTTTGCCATTATTTGAAATTCAGATTCAATGTTTTGTTTTTTGTTTTTCACAGAACATACATAATTCAGTTTATAGGCTAAACATACCCCAAACAGTGAAATACGTGTAAAGAATAAAAGGTATTTAAAGCCAGCCAGTCTCGCATTGCACTATCTGGTCAACCTTCAGGTTTGTGTTAATGAAAACTGTACGTTTTCCATAAACCAATAAACAACAGAGGATTGTGGGAAATGTATTGTGTCAATGTAAAAACTCATTGCAAGATTTATTGGAAACTTAGTGTACATTGCTTGCAATCAATTTCACAATTTCCTCTTAGAAATGGCAGCACAGTTGAGTGAGTACCAACATGATGTCATGTATGCTAGTCTTAAAGAAACCTTCACACCAATGGGTGCCTCATTGAATGGGTTTCCCTGTAGTATGTAGCATTTATATGCTGTAAGATTCCTCATTGATTTTTAAATTCTCCATACTGCAGAACAATACTTTTTATGTTCTGTCCACCGATATGTAAATTTGATATATGTCCAGGAACATATGGTGTCTCTACATATATGTCTGCATCATTTTAACTGGGATTGGATAGGCACACGGCCGGTCCTGTTGGAGGTTTCCATAATAATATGCTAAAAGGGCAAACGCTGCAGGAAGATGTGGTTTCTGCATGTGCGGAGTGTGTTCATTGTGTCTAATAATTCACAGTGTGAGTGGGACTCCATCTGTTTTGCCTTTTTAATTCTCAATGGCTGGATGAGTCATGCATTGCATGATTGGATGGGAGAGAGACACAATGCTTTTATTCTTTCAGAACGCGCAGAGTCCTGGGCCTAATTACATGGTAGGAGGTGAGAGCGAGCAAATCCGAGAAAATGCTGAGTTATGTAATCCAAGCCTGACAGAAGCTCCACATAAACATATATTACCAGATCAAGCCCTACAGAAGCCCACATAATAGTGGGCTTGTTACCGCTTGTACCCAGCTGCCCTGTGAATATTAAAGTCCAGGATATTCCACCCAACAACCTTATAGTGAAAGACAGAATTTTAGTAGAGCGGGAAATAGGGGGACATTAATGGGTTTTTTTGGTTTGTTTTTTAAATCAAATAATACAGTGCAATAAAAAAAAATTATTGGGGGAAAAAAAAACCTTTCGGTCATTCAGTTAATTATAAGCATTAACCCCTTCGTGATAAATGACCTGCTATGCATGATATAAAACCGGAATTGAAAGAGAGGCACATCCACCTCTGTCTTTATTGCATACGAAAAGCAACTGTTCAACTCAGCAGTGTCTTTATCAAGTCATATCTCTTGATGAAGACTCTGCTGTGTCAAAATGTTGCCTTTTATATCCAATAAAGACTGCATGTTCCTCTGTGTGCCCCCGACCTCTCTTTCAATTTCTATTGGAAATAGGGTTATGCCACCTTTGTCCGTGTGGCACCAAGATGAGGATTTGTGATTTGAACTCTTTGTTCCAAAATTATTAAAAACAGGGGCAGCCAGAAGGCAGACCCCAAGCTATTCTACAATTACATCCTCCATAATGGTTTGCCAGTCTTATGTATATTCTAACATTCTTTACATCTATGTGATTTGAGAAAAATAGTGTGTGGGAATCTCTTTAAGTTCAGAGTTTAGAGAGTGTTTCAGTGAAATATGTTGAGCTCCAAGAAACATGCCACAATAGCCAAATATGGATATTTTGTTGCGTATTCTCACACAATTCAAATTATACTCCGAAGTGTCCCTCTTTGCAAGTGGCAATCCCTTCTTTAGTTGCAATTTACATGTCACTATATGGATTGACAGCAAGCAGCCATCAGGAAAATGAGTCCGTGAGAGAGAACACTTATCCACAAAAGGATTTTATATTTAGGTACCTAACATAAACAGAAAGTAAATCAGCAGTCTAAGGGTTAATTGCTACCAAGTCCCCAGTGTAAAGTAAAGTAGAGATGATGCAACATAAATGAACGTTACACGCATTGCAATTACCCTTACTCACAGCGATCTGTCATACAGTCGTGCATTTGGCACCACACCTTGGTTAGACCAGATTCCCAAATACAGAAACAGAAATAAGGCAATAATGACCACAATGTTTTTTTTACTTATTTATTATATTCGCTCATAACTAATAGGAAAAAGGACAGACTAGCACTATTCGCAAGATAATAAAGTATTATCCCATAGTGCTTTAGTAGCCAGTCTATATTGTTCCATACCTACCAAACCCTCTTTTCTAGGAGCTCCATATTGTTGGTGTGTCTGAGTATAAACAGGTCTTCCAACAGTCCCAATTTCAGATGGGACACACCCACATTCGGGGTAGCCATATAACATTAAGACAACCATTTGCACGGAGTAAATAAAATGGATATAACACGTTTCACCAGTATGGCTTTTTTCAAATGGAGTAAAATTGAGTTTTTACTCCATTTTAAAAAGCCATAATGTTGAAACACATTATGGATGTTATAATTTTGTATTTTAATTAATAAAATACTATCGGTCACTGCACTTGTCTACTTTGTCAATTGCCTTTTTATTTTATTTTTAAAAATTATTTCTGTTACATACTTCCTGGCATCTATATACCTTTTTATTTACAACTCCAAAGAATCCCAGCTTGGGATCATACCACCAACACTGATACCATATCGAGTCTTCTCTATCTTTGTGAGTACATTTTTATTTATTTATTTATTATTTATTTATAAAATATTTTACCAGGAAAGATACATTGAGATTTCTCTCGTTTTCAAGTATGTCCTGGGTCCACAAATCATTGCATTGTTACATTAGGGTACAGTAAAATACAAAAACAATATTAATACACAATATATACAAAATTTAACATAGAACAGGTAGGAAATATATAATCAACCATGACACGTGCATTCTGTTTTGAGGTATGTAGAGAGGGATCTCTTAAATGACTTTAGGCTTAGGGAAGATTTTAAATTGTGCGGGAGGCCGTTCCACAATTGCGGCGCTCTGTAGGAGAAGGAGGATCGGGCCGCTTCCTTCTTTATTGAGGTAGACTAAGTAAAGTGTTGTACTGGATCGGAGCTTATAGAAAGTGGGAACAGCTGGGGAAAGCATTATGTTCAGGTAGGGTGGGAGTTTCCCAGAAAAGCTCTTAAAAACAAGGCTGGAAAGATGAAGGGTGCATCTGGATTCCAGCGATAGCCAGTTTAGTTCCTTTAGCATGTCACAATGATGGGTCCTGTAATTACATTGTAGCACAAATCGGCAGAACGAGTTATACAATGTGTTGAGTTTATTAATGTGGGATTGCGATGCAGACGCATATACTACATCCCCATAATCAATGATTGGCATCAGCATTTGCTGTACAATCTTTTCCTTTACTATAGGGCTTAGGCAGGCTTTGTTTCTGTACAGGGCACCTAATTTTGGATAAAGTTTAGATGCAAGCTTTTCTATGTGTAGGCCAAAAGATAGATTGGGGTCTAATATCATACCCAAGTATTTGAAAGAGTGGACTGCGGTCAGTGTGCCATTTGAATTTGTTTTGATGGATAGGTGGGAATTGTGTAATTTGTGTAATTTAGGTACTGTTCCAAAGATCATTGTGACAGTTTTGTCAGTGTTCAGGAAGAGTTTGTTTTTTGCGATCCACTTTTCTACCTCTGTAAACTGGTCTTGGAGCAAAGCCTCAAGTTGCAGTAGATTGGATTTGCTCGCATAGATTACTGTGTCATCTGCGTACATGTGTACATTTGAGGATTGGCAGACATTAGGTAGATCATTTATAAAGTAAATAGTAGGGGGCCAAGAATGGAACCCTGGGGAACACCACACGTGACTGGGAGAGGGAGGGAGTCACTGTCAGAAATGGACACATATTGCGAGCGATCCGATACATACGATCGAACCAGTTTAGAGAATGATCACCAATACCTGAGTTTTCGAGTTTGTGCAGTAGAATGTCGTGGTCTACTGTGTCAAAGGCCTTAGCAAAATCAAGGAAAATAGCTCCAGTTAGGGCTCCTTGTTCCATGCCAGTTTGGATGTCATTGCAAACTTTTAGGAGGGCAGTTGTAGTGGAGTGATTCTGGCGAAAGCCCGATTGATCGGGGGTCAGATAGTTTAATTGTTGGTAGTACTCACAAAGTTGCGTATGCACACATTTTTCTAAGATTTTTGACAATACCGGGAGCAATGATACTGGGCGATAGCTAGAAACCAAAGTAGTGTCACCACTTTTATGGATAGGCACTACTCTCGCAGTCTTCCAAAGTTTGGGTATGTATCCAGACACCAAGGATTCGTTAATTAGAGTTGAGATGGGTTTAGCAGTTGCCGGCGCACTGAGCTTCAACAGCATTGCTGGGATTTGATCAGGTCCGGACTGGTTTTTCATTTTAAGATGTTTTTTAATGACACTAACAGGTACAGGTCTAAAATTAAACTTATCTATATTGGGCCTTTGCAAATTTAGTGGGACCTGATCCACATTTGTAGTTTCAGGATGCGTGTCATTTATTGGCTTGGCAATCAGGGCAGTAGAGCATCAGACAAAATAATTGTTAAAGGCATTTGCTACATCTAAGGGAAGTTGCAGGGTTTGGTTATCTACTTTGACAGTGGAGGGTTGGGAGTGGATTGGGGGAGTTTGTAGTTTATTTATGACTTTCCAAAAGTTTCTAGGGTTTGAGATGTTACTGTTCCGATTTTCATAGAAATATTGGGCCTTGACCAGTTTTGTCTGTTTTGTGCATATATTTCGCCATTGTCTATATGCACAGTGATCATTCATGGAGCCAGTACGCTTAAACTTTGACCACAAAGAATCCCGAAACTGGTACATTTGGATGAGGTCAGCTGTGATCCAGTTCATATGTGCTCCTTTTACCCTAAGGATAAAGCGGGGCATTCAAATTCCAAATTTGTAGGAGTTCAGACTGAAAGAATTCAACAGCACAGTCTAGATCTGGGATAATGTTTAATCTGTGCCATGAGAGGTTCTTGATGTCCTTTAGAAAGGATTCAAGATTAAATTTTTTGAAGGACCTAGTTATTTTAACCTTGGGAGAGGATTTAATAGCCTTTATTTTGCGCACGCAGTACGCTAAACAGTGATCACTGAACGTGTTTGGGAGAACACCAACCTCCTGGATTCTATCAGGAGAAGTGGAGAGAATCCAATCTAGCAGGGTATGGTTATGGCTTTTAATGTTTATGCGAGTTGGGGAGGAGATTAATTGCGTTAGCTGCAAAGTCTTAAACAGCGTGCAAGAACTATTATTTTTAGGGTTCAGCCAATCAATATTAAAATCTCCAAAGACCAACAGTTCACTTTTTGGGTTTTGAGCTATGGTTTCACTAAGGAGATGGGCTATGTCAGAAAGGGAATGCACAGGGGAGCTAGGTGGGCGGTAGATTCCTGCAACAATGATTGATTTACTGCACGGGATCTCAATTGTGCCAGAAAGGAAATCAAAGATGGCAGGAGGACTAAGGTTTTGTAAAGGGGTAAACTTTATGGAATTGTCAACATAAATAACAATGCCTCCTCCTCTCTTTGCTCTGTCATTTCTAAAACATGAATAACCCTGTATTGCAATGGCGGTGTCTGGTATTTTAGCCGTTAACCATGATTCTGAGAGCACAATGATTTTTGGTTTGTAATGGGAACACCAGGCTTGCAGTGCATCCAGTTTAGGGAGTAAACTACGGATGTTGCAGTGCACAAAAGAGAGGCCTTTTTTAGTGGGGAGACTAGGACTAGAATTAGCTGGGGGACCAGGGTTAGACTCCATATAATTTGCAAGGGCAAGTAACATAAGGAGTAGGAATTTGGACATCATCTTTATTTGGCCATATAGGGAATGGGATAATTTATTATTTTGTGAGATTGGGGTGGGAGGGCTATTTTTTATAACTCTCAACCAGCACTCAGCAGATAAGTTAAAGGAACAGAGCAGGCCATGGTGTATTATAATTTGTGTTCCAGTTTGAGGTGTGTGCTTATGCTGGTAGTGGTGTGAACAAAATTGGATTGAGAAAAGGGTTATTAAGAATAACAGTATGGTTATATTATGATTCATGTTAGTGGTATGAGGTGTGTAGTTGAAAATGAAACAGAAATTGCGAGATAATTTTTTTTATCAGTTTTATGTTGTTTCTTATATTTTATTGAGAGCACTATCTGTTGCATTTTATATTTCTTTCTGAGCTCCTTTAACCTCACAGCATATCCTACAAGTGGGAATTGTACCAGTGTACGCATTATAAACTAGAGCTGGCCATAGCTCTAATAAATGTAAGTGTAACACCGCTATTATATCAACTGAATTGAATTATTGACATACTCCCCTATTGGGTTTTATCTACCTCTTGCCTTTTTATATATGGACACTTAAGAAATCTGAGAAAGACATACCCCACAAGTGTAAGAAATATAAGTCTTTGCAAGTACCTAAAGCTACATCTACTTCTATTATAAAAGCACCTTTTATATGTGAGGACTACAAATATATTTTATACACTACTCTATCCTAATTCTCCTTGACCTTTTTGCGACTTTTGACACTGTTGATCATCAACAGCTTCATCTCATCCTCTGCATTATCGATCTACAAGATATTCCTCTATCGTGGTGCTCCTCCTACCTCTCCCAGCGCTCTTTCAGTGTCTCTTTCTCTGTCTCTGCTTCTGCTCCTCAACTCATTTCTGTTGGTGTCCCCCAAGGTTCAGTCCTTGGTCCCCTACTGTTCTCTATTTATACTGCCTCCCTTGGTAAACTCATTAGCTTTCAATATCATTTCTATGCTGATGACATGCAAATCTATCTATCCTCTCCTAATCTCTCCTCGTCCCTCTTGACTAGTGTCTCTGACTGCCTCTCTGCTATTTCTAACAGGATGGCTGCCCACTTCCTTAAACTCAGCTTGACCAGAACTGAACTTGCGCTGTTACAGTCCACAATGTATGTGGAGGCGAGGCTTATCTTCCTGTCTGCCCGCACCTCACACACCTCA